CCCGCACCCCCCCTCCCCCAACACACATGCCTTTTACAAGTTTCTCTGCGGATTCGGGCTCCTCTTAGCGAGCGCACTCAACCCCATCTTCAAAAAAAAAATAAAAAAAATTCCTGGGATGTTTTTTGGCTCGTCTGGATTTGCCGGGCGGACCCCCCCAGTCCGTCTGGCCCGGTCCGTCAGGCCCGGTCCGTCTGGACCGGGCGTAGGCCTAACCCAGCTGTTTATCTGATTCCCTCAGGATTTGAACTCATGATCTGTGTCTATGGACTCTTAGATGTGTCACGTGTGTAGTATAATAGTACTGTATAGCATTCACCCACACGAGCTGGGGTGAATAAGGCGGTCAGTGAACTCGACTGATCAGCAAAACTCTGCTTCCCACAAGCCACTTTTGATCACACAACATTTATCTCCCATCACACGACATTTGTCTCCATTTCTACCTCCCGACGATTGCCAGAACATGCAATTTACAAAATCACGTACATAACACACACAGTAGGCACCGTTGGAACAATCCACCAATCACATCAGGCTATCCTTATCACGCCATCCTGAAATTCAGACAAGCTGCAGGCAAAAGTCGAAGAAATTGTAAATGGAGGACCGATTCCTACAGCAAGAACAACAGAAAAGAAATGAAACGGAAGGGTAAAAGAACAAGAGAACAAAGGCCTGGCACACACGGCTGAAGCTGGTACTTTGTGGACTGCAGGGCTTATCAAAAACTGCAAATGAGAAGAATTAACAGATCATAATCACCATCCGGTGCAGGTTAGCCTTTTTATACTCTTACTGTAGGGAGATGTAAAGCAGACACATTTAAGACACACAGAGTGAAAATGATACTCAATAGTCAATAGACAAATGCCGATAAGATGAGAGCTTCCATGAAATACTGACCGCAAGCAGAATGGACTGACGCTCTGTGTAGTCTGACAAAGCAGCCGCAGCAACTAAGAATTGGTCTGTTATCCTGCAAGAGTGCCACAAGCCAAGGTAGAGGAATGTGCGCGTTTCTGAGCTTTACTATATCCATGCAGGTGGTTTTCTGACATACTTGTAAGCGTGGACTGGTTGCGATTGGCCTCGTTACTTCTGTTTCGATACTTGACCTGCTGATGTTGCCATGCACTTGAGAAATTCAGATGAATCTTACCTTCCCCAAATTGAGAAAGGAAGCCACCACGCTAAACAGGTAGCAATTTGTTAAATTCAAATTCGGAAGAACAATGCCAAAGCCAAGTGGCTGTGAAACACGCGGAACCACACTTTCATACAGACATTGGAGGCTGTGAAATCTTCCCCGAATAAAGAACACAAAACAAACGGAAGCCATGTGCAGCCCATCATGAGAGATGGCTGCCACATTCAAATGAGGGCAGCACGAGCGTAAATTACCCATTCCTGACATAGGGAAGTATGACAATGAAGAACAATTCTTTGGTGCAATTGCTGGAACAATACTTTAGTGCAATCGCTGGAGTAATTGACACATGCTTCTCTGTATTAATTCGCATGGAAGTAGCACAGCCAGGAAATATAACAATACTGGGCAAGAAAGGAAAGAGGCCATGGGAGGACCTGCACTGTGGAAACCTAGATTAACCCAAACTTGTGCTATCAGTACTTCAAGCCTCACCTTGTGAACAAATTACAGGTTTCCGCAGGCACTAAATTCCCTTTCCACATGTCCGTGGCTGTGACTGCAACAATTGGCATCTATAATAAATATTAAATTTTAATAATGAAATTAGCAACGACGAGTACACATAGAGAACTACCATCAGATAATAACAAAATAGATCCATCATAGGCTTTCCCTTTCCGCATGTCACTGGCTGTGGTCGCAACGATGGCTGCAACAACGGACATTTACAGTTTAAGCCATCTGCTGAAAGACTGCAAACATTCTTGATTATGGAGAGGGGTAATGGTACCCCTCAGATTTGTTATCCCTGAGAAGACGCGATTGACAAACTGGCTGTCTCATATCCACCCACTGTGTAACCTGTCCCAAACCTCTCCCAAAACTAGAACTGAATTTGACCAAGGGGCCATGGGCAGACCTGTACTGTGAAAGCCATCTGCTGAAAGACTGCAAACATTCTTGATTATGGAGAGGGCTAATGGTACCCCTCAGATTTGTTCTTGCTGTAACGAAGACAGGATTGACACATTGGCTGTCTCATAACCACCCACTCTGTAACCTCTCCCAAACCTGCACTGTGAAACGTAACTTAACCCAAACTTGTGCTATCAGTATTTCAAACCTCACCTTGTGAACAAATTTCAGGTTTATGCAGGCACTAAATTCCCTTTCCACATGTCCGTGGCACATTGGCTGTCTCGTAACCACCCACTCTGTAACCTCTCCCAAACCTCTCCCGAAACTAGAACTGAATCTGACCAAGGGCCAGCCTAAATAGTAGTGCCAGTATTCCATGACTCCCCGCGATCAGAAGTCTCTGCAAAAGTTTTGTAGCGGCCAGGTCTTGACGTGATGCCTGGCTTCCGATCTACAAGGTCAGATATATAAGCACCTGGGGAAAAGCCATGTAGCGGCCAGGTCTTATAAGCGATGCTCGGCTTCTAATCTACAAGGCCAGGTTTATAAAAGCCCTTTAGTGGCCACACCCAGTGCAACCTAAAGTGGCGCATATAGAGCCCAGAGAACGAATCTCATTTGGGTTCAGCAATGTGAGGTTTAGGATGACACCCATTTCAGATAAGAGGGGATAACTCTGGCCTTGAGAATTGGGATGAAGGAACAAGTATTCATGTGTTCCCAGGAGAAAAAAGAACAGGAAACGGGAGAAAAAAGCGAGAAGTAAACAGAAAGCTACTCATGGTTTGCTAGTGGGGTTGATATGAGGAGCCCTTACTAGCAGCCCTCCCTGGCTGCTCCAGTCTATTGGCGGGGAGCCACACCAAGAGAAGTAAAATTCTGTCATTGCTGCTCACATATAAGACATGCACTTCCAGTAGGGGTATGCAGACTGGACCCCTTGGTTGCCTAAGATTCCTTGATGGAGAAATTGGTGGGTGTGTATCATCTGCATAACCAACACATAGCCAAAACATGGGCATGAACTATCTGAGAGAATGGCGTTCCTTCATGGGGTGTGGATTCCTCGTCTTTGCAGCACATATACAAAGAAGATTTGCATACATACCTTGGCAAATCGGTGTCACTGATCTCCGCGCCACGGTAACGAATAAGATCTGTGATTGCAATAATTGCACCCTTGGCAGCGGTTTCTGTTCGATCACACACACCCTTCTCACTTATTCGTAAGAATGAGACCAGCTGCACACAGTCCACAAAAAGAATTCACCACATCACTACGCGTCCCACACTAATGGTTAATAGGTGGTGTCATTTTCAGTGAAATTTTCACAGAAACTGCCGTATTTCCCTGAATTTTTGCTTTTTTTTTTCTTTTTTTTTTTTGTGTGTGTGTGTGTGATATGTATGTGCTTCAGGGTACTGTGTTGATTTTCAAGAACTTTCGACGTATTTGGACCAGTAACGAAAAAGTTTTTGACTTTTTTTTTGCCTGTTTCAATGTTTTGCGAGGCAGGCACCCCGATAAGCCCCTCAAGGGGCCCTCTTTGCAGCATAGTCGGCCGCCCTAAGTGAAGGCAGGCTTGACAGGCCCTCTCGGCCTCTTTTTCCAGGCCCCACGCAACTGAAGGAAATTTAGGCAGTTGCGCAGCGCCAGTTGGTTGAAAGAATCCAGGCCCTGGGCCGCCTATGTGAATGTACAGAAAGCAGGCCCTGGGCTGGATACAGGTACTAGGCCAGACACAGGCCAAGGGCAGTTGGGCGCACGCAACCACCACAGGCCCTGGGCCTGCATTGCGTGGACTGGGCCTCAGGCTACCGGGGCCTACTGGAAGCTTCCTGGGACTGGACGCAGGCAGGCCACTTCGATATAGCAAAGGGCCTCCCTCCTCATTCCGCATTCGGGTGCTGGCTGCATGCTGCACAAGCGCTGCTGCGCTATTTGCTGGCTGGCGCCTACGCGCTCACGGGCGAGCAGGGAAGGAGCACGCAGCCATAGCCGAGCTGCGCTGCTGTAAGCTGGGTGAGGCGCAGGGTGGTCCTTGGGTGCTAGTGGCATCTGTGAGTTGGGGAACGAGGTTGTGAGTGTAGCGCGAGACATACCTGGTGCTGGAAGCGTACGACATTGGTCGCCATATGCTCGTACTTCGGGAATGCTGTTAATGTCTTCTTTCGGCTTCGTAGTATAGGCTAGATAGGATCTGCCACATGTAGTCTGGGCGCCGAGCGCCAAATAGGATATCAACTCTGGTTCTTCGTTGATGATGATGGGACTATTTCAGCATTGTCAATTATGAACTCTTGGTGTGTTCTTATTTGGTGAATCTCGTGATGCAATTCTGCTGTTGGTTCGAGGTCAAGACTATCTGGACTCATATGTATGATGCTGTTTGATTGCTGAAGTTCGCTATTGCTCATCTTCCTTGCAATTTGGTATCGAAGCTGTGGTACGATTGCGCTCATCTGGCGCTTGTCTTCTGCCTTACGCGGTACATACATGCGGTCTGCTGGGCGAATCTGGCCAAAAGTGGTGTGTAGTGAGGAGGGTGGAGACGAGTGTGGTGGCGACCCAGGAGGTGAGGGGATCGCCAGGAAGGCTATGAGTGGGTAATGTGGTCTGGACAGTGTGATGAGAACTATCTAATGTGCGATTGATGCTGAGGTGGAACGGCGAGATAATGCTGGTTGTGCCGATGCAGTGACTGGTCATCGCAATCGCCATTTGGTCATCTGGTGAGATTATCTCTGTGGTTGGGGGCAGCTAATTGAGGTACGTTGCTCTTAACCTTATCTTCCCTCTTCGACACTTCTTACCGTGAGGTTGTGTTCCTTCTTGAGAGTCCTCTCATCATGAGGTGTCGAGTGCGCTCAACCTTGAGAGTCGGCAATGTTCACGTGGAGCATCTGGGTGGAGATGGGCGGAGCTTTCTGAAGGGCCCTGGACGAAGCACTGGGTCACGGTCACCATGCCAACCCACCAGGAGTAGAGCACGCATGCTTTGCTGCTTTGTCCTTTGTCTGCTCGCTGCGCTGATAGATGGGTTATGAGGGGCAGGCCAGCCCTACAGGGGAGACGAGTACCGGGCGTCTATAAATAAGCACCGACGGGGTTACCTTCCATTGGCTGTGATCGTCATCCTGTCTGCGACGTAAAATAATTCCTGAGGACTCCGTGGGCCGTCCTTAAACGCCTCTTGATCAGCCAATCGGTCGGTGTAAGGCTAGCTGCACGCGAGGGTAAACATTGTGCAGGGCTGGGCAGCTCAGCATACACTCGGGGCACAGGGGTGGGCCATGTGCACACCTTTAGACACGCACGCTGTCCGGATTGCTCAGGAACGCCATGTGCACACCTTTAGACACGCACGTGTAGGTTTCAGGTGATCAGTTCGGGAAAGATTCCACTCTGCAAACAGCCATGCAAACGATTCTATTCTTATTTTCGATTAGTTAAAGATGTACAGCCATTGACATCTGACAGACCAGCCATAGTTAGAAATCTCCTTTCTGTCCGTGGACTAATTAATTAAAAAATAGTTTCGTTTATAGGAATCTGGACTTTCTTGTTGGATCTGAATGAGTAGACTCTGACATAGCCACCGATTAATTATTTTATTGATTTTAAATCAGTCTGTGCACTACGCTGCGGTAGGCATTGAGTGTACAGTGCTGTAGCTTATGAGTGACAGGGAGGTTCCTGACGAGGACGATATGATCTTGCAATGAGCTAGACGCCCGTTGGCCCACGTGGCACTAGGCCCCGAGGGTGACAGGTTTCTGTTCCGCCAGCTCAAGGAAAGACAGCAGCATCAGCGGAGAGCTAGGGCCGCAGAGGCAAGCAGGGCATTCGCAAGCGAAGCCGCTACTTCAGCAGCCATGGCAACAGCTGCGCAGCAAAGCTCCCAGGCCAGCAGTTCGGGGACTGTAGGGGCGACGCAAAGACCATGAGACAGTCCGCTTGTGTCATGGCTAGCCAGCAGTCAGTGTTAACACCCGAAGAGGTCGCCATACAGCGAGCAAGTGCTCAGGAGGCACAGCTACAAAAGGCTTTAGATGAGATACAAGCGGAGAAGGATAGAATGATGCAATGACCTGCCAAAACACAGAGTGAGAACACTGCCGATTTCTGGGATTTGCCGCCGGAATGAATGCCTTGCTGAGATTCCCGCATTCTGCTGTGGTTCCCAAGTTTGTGTGTGTGTGTGCCTGTCTGAGTGCTGGTCGGCTGAGTGTGTGTGTGACCCGCAAGGGTACTTGTTGGTTGAAAGGCTCCGCAGGGCCGGTACTTACCTGTGGCTGTGACTTTGAGGGTTGCAGCGGGGAAAACACTCTACAAGCGGGGGTAGGCCCGCGACACTTAGAGCAGCGGGAAAAACACTCAAGTAGCAGGTAGGCCGGTACCACTCAAGTAGTAGTAGAACTGTCGGGTACTGGAGGCTGAGTAGAAGAAGACAAAAAGTTGGCATTTTTAGAGGCCCAGTAGCGATAGGTTAGAGGTAGGCCGGTGCCAGTCCAAGTAGTCCGAGTCTAGGGCCTGTCCGGACGATAGCAGAGCCTGCAATGATGTACCAGTTGCTGGAAGGAGGTACCGGTTGCTGGGAGGCCGCTCGGCCTAGGAAGTCACCGCCCAAGAGGCCAGTAGGCCGCTATATCTTCCGGAGGAGCAAGCAACTCCTCCTCATTTGCGGTATGCAAGGATTTGCGACATGCTGCTGGAGCCAAGCGCTGGACTTGGGCAGCGCTGCCTGGAGGTGACGGGCAGCTGGGCGCTCAGCCTGGCTATGGTGAGCAGCCCATCCTGAGGAGGAGGAAGAAGGGGGCGAAGGAGGAGAGTGGCGAGGTACCTACCTGGCTATGGTGGACACCATCTTCATCACCTTGTTGGGCGCTACATCTGGAAGGCCCCAGTTGGGGTAGAGCCGCACCAAGGAAGCTCGAGGCAGAGTCAGGCATGGCGGCTTAGTCAGCAGCGGCATAGCTGCTTTGGGTTGTCCTTTGGACAGGAGTGCAGCGACATAGCTGCTTTGCATTGTCCTTTGCACAGGAGGGCAAAGCCCTCAGTAGTCCGCCGTAGCCTAGGCATGTGAGAGGTGGAAGAAGGGGGGAAGCCATAGCTATGGTGGACCTATTGTGATGTCAGCAGTAAGAGGGAACTTCGGACATTGATTCTGGTTCATCCACTCATTGTTATTATTATTATTGGAAGAAGAATAAGATTGGTGAAGTGGAGGAGGAGGAGGAAGGTGGAGAGAGAAGGGGGATTTGTCATTGGTCTTGCTGGGTACATCTTCTTCTTCTTCTTCTTCTTCTTTCTCTCTTCTTTGGTCTCTGTCTCTTTTCAAGTGCTTTCATTTCTTTTGCAATTGGGTGGCATTGTATTTCATTGTGAGTTTGCACTTTGGGAATGACCAGGATCGTAACAATGATCAGGAGAAGGACTAGGATGCAGAGGAGACAAGCGGACATTGGGGAGTTAGAGGGGATGGACCTGACTAATATGGATGCCGATGTGAGGGTCGTGAGGACAGCCCTGTTAGATGTAGTGGAGATGTAGGACTACCACACATCTCTGTTGCAGGACAATCAGCGAAGCTTGGCCGTGCTGGTCGGGCGTGTTCAGGTAGCACCATCACCATCAGGGCCCAGTGCCTGGCCGGTGGTCCAGCCTCCTCCTTTTGTTCCACCGATAACTGGAGTATCCCCATTCATCCCTCCAGCTTCGGGGCAGGCTGCTTTCCCGTTGATTGAAGTCATAGAGCAATATGACTTTGGGCCCCAATACATCAAGGGGGAGTACAATAAGGTTGCTGATGCGCTGTCGCGTAGGCCAGACTTTCTCGGTGCGTTGATCACAGAGTTTGGGCTTGCGGACGATGTTACTCAATCCTTGGTGGAAGCCTATCGAGAGGATCCGTTCATGTCAGAAATCATACGCAGACTCGAGGGAAAGGATAAAGCAACGTCTGACGAGTTTGAGTTGATCAATGGCCTGTTGTTCCTTGAGAAGGCCGGGAATAAACGTTTGTGTGTTCCAAATCAGGAGTCTTTGCGTAGTTTATTTTTATGTGAGTGTCATGATGCCACCGGACATTTTGGCTTTAAAAAGACAACAGCAAATCTGTTGCAGCATTTCTGGTGGCCCACGATGATGAAAGATGCCAAGCAATATGTGGATACTTATCAGGTCTGTCAGAGGGACAAGCCAAGCACACAGGCCCCTCTTGGGCTTCTCAAGCCCCTTCCAATTCCGGAAAGACCCGGTGAGAGCCTGTCCATGGACTTCATGGACACGCTGGTCACCAGCAAGAGTGGAATGAGACACATCTTTGTCATTGTGGACAGGTTTAGTAAGTACGCTAGGTTAGTTGCAATGCCTGAAACAGCAAAAACCGAGTACGTGATCAGATTATTCAAGGAAAACTGGGTCAGAGACTTCGGACTGCCAAAGTCTGTTGTTAGTGACCGTGATGTTCGATTTACAAGCGAGTTGTGGAAGGCTGCAGCTGCAAAACAAGGCACGGAGCTACAGATGACCTCCGGGAACCACCCAGAGGCAAATGGGCAAGCAGAGCAGCTGAATCGCGCTGTACAACACCTGCTAAGGCACTACATCAAGCCCAATTAGGTGGACTGGGATGAAAAACTTGCTCTCATGGCCAGTCTGTATAACAATGCCGTGCACAGTGCAACAGAGGTGAGCCCCAACAGTCTGCTACTGACTTTTAAACCTAGACTGCCCTCAGATTTTCTACTACCTGAGAATCAGCCTTCTGCTGCACCAGGCACCTTAGAATTCGCTTATCGATATGAGCTCCTGATGCAGCAAGCTGTAGAACAGATGCACAAGGCACAGGCGGCGATGATAGAATATGAGAACAAACACCGCCGCCCATCTACATTTCAGGTAGGGGACAGAGTCTGGGTCAAGTCCTCAGAACTGGGACAGGAGCACAGGATCTCCCACAAGCTCATGCCACAGTACTTTGGACCATGGGAGGTTCTCGATGTTGTTGGGGGTCATCCGGATGGGCCGTCATATGTAATCCAGATCCCTGGTCACCTTCGCACTTACCCTGTCTTTCACGCCTCTAAACTTGCACCTTTTCGAGAAACTGATCAATTCCCCTCTCGTCGCTCAATGCTGCCCCCAACCATGGATGGAGAGGTCGACATCGACGACATCGTGGATCACAGGGAAATGCCAGTTCCAAGACCAACAGGCACGGGACGTCCTCCAAAGCCGAAGCTGCGATATTGCGTTCGGTTCAGACATCACACTGATCCTACGGAGGACAGATGGTTTACCTGGGAGGAACTGATGCAAACCGCTCCACAGGCTGTCGCTCACTACCAGAAGTCACTGCAGAAGGGAAAGGGCCAGACTGAGTAAAGGAACTTCTCAGAGGACTGTCGAAGTATGGAGGAGGGAATGCGAGGCATAAGGCCCCGACGAGCCCCTTTGGGCCCTGTAAGCAGCACTGTCCGCCGCCCTAAATGAAGGCAGGCTCGACCAAGGCCAAGAGGCCTATTTTTCGGCCACCACGCAACTGAGGAAATTCAGGCAGCTGAGCAGCGCCAGTAGGTTGAGAGCACCCAGACCCTGGCTGCCTTTTTCGTACGTAACCGAGGCAGGCCCTGGGCGAGATACAGAACATGGGCCGAACACAGGCTGCGGGCAGTTGGACACAGGCAACCGTCAGATGCCCTGGGCCTGATTCGTTTGGACTGAGGCTCAGCCTCTCTGGGCCTACCGGAAGCTTCTGGCCGGGGCCCAGCGCAGCCAGGGCACACACAGCAGGCAGACCACTTCCATTTAGGAAAGTGCCTGCCCCCGCATTTGGCATTCGGGCACTGGCTGCATGCTGTGCAAGTGCTGCTGTGCTAAACGCTGGCCAGAGCCCATGCGCTCACGGGCGAGCTGGATGAGCTGGCAGCCATAGCCGAGCTGCGCTGCACTATGCTGGATGGGGCACATGGTGGTCCTTGAGTGCATGTGGCATCTGCGAGTGGGGGATCGAGGTCGTGACAGATACGAGAGACATACCTGGTGCTTGAGGCGAACGGCATTGGCCGAGATCTGCTCGTACTACGGGGAGCTTATGCGCTCACGGGTGAGCTGGATGAGCAGGC